AATTGAGTATGTGTTGAGACATAAAGCAAATTTCAAAGAACTGAAATCATACAGAAGATATTCTCTAACCACAGTAGAATTAAGCTAAAAATCAATAACAACAAACTAGAAAATACTCAAATGTTTGGAAATTAAGCAATATACTTCTAAATAAATCATGGATCAAAGAATATCACAATAGAGAGGAGAAACTATCTGAATAATAATGAAAATACAACATACGGAAACTTGTGAGCTGTGGACTGAATGTTTGTGTCTCCTCCTGATGCATGTGTTGAAGCCCTGTTCCCCAGTGTGATGGTATCGGAGGTAGGGCCTTTGGGAGGTAATTAGGTTTAGACGAGGTGACATGAATGGAGCTCCCATGGTGAGATTGGTACCCATAGGAGAAGAGGAAGAGACAAGAACCTTCTCTGTTTTCACCATGTGAGGACACAGCAAGTAGGTGTGCAGACCAGGAAAAGGGCCCTCACCAGGTGTTAAATCTGTTGACACCTTGATCTTGGAATTTTCAGCCTCCAGAACTATGAGAAATAAAAGTTTGTTGTTTAAGCCATCCAGGCTATAGAATTTTGTTATGGAATGACTAAGATATTGTGGAACATAGTCACAATGGACTGGACCTGGAAGGAAATTTATAACCTGGAATTCATGTAAGAGAAAAGAGGAAAGAGCATCTATCTCCAGGAAGTTAGAATATCAACAGCATATTCAACCCAGAAAGGTCCGCTTCCAGGTGCATGAAGTGGTTTGTGGCAAGGCAATGCTCCCACTAAAAAAACCCCCTGGAAACACAGACAACTTATAAAAATCATATATTCAAAAGCATCAGAGAACTACTGAGGCAATGGAGATTAAAGGATAAGATTTCAGGGAAGAACTTTTTACCAGATGAGTGCAGAATACACATTATTTTCAGGAGACATTTATATGGTCAATTCATTTTCAGTAAAGATGCCAAATCAAGCCAGTGGGGAAAGATAAGTTTTTTCATCAAAAGGTGCTGGAACAACTGAATATCCATATGAGATCAAATGAAACTTGACCTCCCTACCTCACACTATATGTAAGATTTAATTTGCCATGGATCATAAACCTAAATGTAAAAGCTATAACTGTAAAGATAGTAAGGAAAATATCTTCATGATCTGGGGTAGGCAAAGATTTCTCAGAAGTAGAAAGATATAACTATAAAAGAAATCATTGATTGAGTGGAATTTATCAAAAGTAAAAACGTCTGTTCATCAAAAGATAACCATCAAGAAAATAAACAGGGCTTCCCTGGTGGCGCAGTGGTTGAGAGTCCACCTGCCGATGCAGGGGACACGGGTTCGTGCCCCGGTCCGGGAAGATCTCACATGCCACGGAGCGGCTGGGCCCGTGAGCCATGGCTGCTGGGCCTGCGCGTCCAGAGCCTGTGCTCCCGTTGCGGAGCACAGGCTCTGGACG